TTAGCGAGAACATAAAAATAGAAGCTATGTTTTACATTTATACTCAATCAGTTTTCAAATCAACTGATTGTGTAATGTGTAATTTTCTTTCTCTAAAAGGGTTATATGCTAAAGACTGCACGACGGAATTAGCATCCAGATGACCAGGGACAAATTAAAATAATAGTCAATCGTCAAATTTCTTGTTTTCCTACTTTTTTTACAAACTGTTTTTTTTTTACTGTATTTCATTAGTTGGTAGACAATTCTCTCTGATCCAAGATGGCAATAATAAATATGGACTTTTAAGGATTAAAACTAATTTCTAATACATTGAATTAATCCAATTATATTCCAGTTCAATGAAGACATTTTTATCTCCACTGACTTGGGGAACCCCCTACTATTCATTAGGCACTTCGGTGGTTTAATTAATTCTAACAGGTTCAATACTTATTTTCTTTATCATATAGTAAGTGACTAGACTTCAAACAAAAAAAAAACCTGACCTCAAAGAAACTTCAAACTTATTCTACAGTAGCAGAATTTGGTAGCTCATAAACTTGTTTCAAAGAGCTGAAATTAGGAAGAACCCAAGTCTTAAGTGCTGAATTGGGAATAAACAGTAATGGAGAGCTACTAGAACCATTCAGGAAAAACAAAGAGAAAGGCAGTAACGTTAGATTGGTTTTGCCAGTTTCACATTCAGAATACAGTACATATGTTTCTGACCTTAAATGAGAACAGAATTTGATACATTCAGATTTTAAACCAGAAGGATGGAACATCCCAAGGGAAATCTTCTCAGGGTTGGCTCAACAGATGTGCCTTTAAAGCTATCCTTCCACAGGTAAGGAGGTGGATATTGTTGCAAGTCTATACAGAAGTACTGCGGAAACATTGGAAAAAATGCCGTTTTAGCCGTAAAGCTTTGAAAGTGGGGTGAAAATGGAGAAAGGGAAGCTAATAAAAGATACACACGGGTTATAACATACCAACTGCATCTTATCTCCAATTCTGGTGTCCTTAGGGACACTCAGGCGTAAAGAGTTTCTCAGCCTGAGATTGAACCATCTGTTAATCGAATAAAAACGATTAATACAGCAAGCAATATATGTACTGACAGTTGGGTCATTCTGGGCTGCTGTTCTCTGCCACCATTTGTAACGGGAACCGTGACACAGTTCCTAAGAACCAAGCCAGCCAATTACTAATTGCATGAATGGTTGTCCTTCCTAAGCAGAGGCAATTCTAAGAGCGTGGACGCAATCTTTCCTAAGCCTTATGCCGTTTGACCTGCCCTAAGAGCCTGTTGAAATAAGAAAGGGACAGTTTAAACTCCTTATTCATTTCCAAGGATGGCCCTGTTATAGCAAAGGAACAGGGCTGCCCAGGCTGTGTTGTCGTCCGCGGCGATTTTAGACTCAGAATTAAGACAAACGAGAAGAGTGTACACTGCTGTCATTTAAACAGTTTTACAGTAGACCTCAATATTGTACTATCCCCTGCCCTTTGATGAGTTTAGCAGCACCTGCGCTGAAAAAGAACAAAAGAAAAAAAAAGGTTGGCACTCACTGCAAGTTTTTGTTATTGCAAAGTGCCTTATGCATGACAAACACCAGCTCTGTGATTTTTGAAAACTATTGAGGTAACTATGGAAGAGAGAAGATACGTTACAGAAACAAATCTGTGCGTTTGCACCTAGCGATGCTGTTTTAATCATTCAGAGCTAAAACACAACCAGAATAAGGGAGGTGTTTCTCGCCACCATTAATGCTTGTTTTTTTAAAAACAAAATTAATGTTTGACTACCGTAAACCAGACATTGAGAGCCGGTTTCAAAAGGCCTCGTTAATCTTTCCAAACTCTAAAAAAGCAGTTTGCCAAAGGTGGACAAACAGTGGCAAGTTGTGTTGTCAAATATGTGAATTGCAATACACCCTGAAATAAAATATGAACAGCTGCTCTCCATGTTACTCGCGGTAGCTTAGGCATATGATTACAGTACTTTACAGGTGTGGGAATATTATTCTGGGCTATACACAATGGACTATTTTTTTTTTTTAAAAAGAACAACAACAACAAAATAATAAACAGGACTTTCAGAGAGTTAAAACTAAACTCTCAAAGCAAACATTTATAAAGTAGTATTGAGGAGAAAACTTTCCTTTCTAATTTTCTTCTTCTAATTTTCTAATTTTCTTTCCTTTCTAATTTTCTTTACTTCTCCCCGGCAGAAACACAGATACAGAATTGATTTTGGGAGAAGGAGGGGAATCTCTTCCTTTTAAATCATCCTGGAAACGCTGCTGTATAAAGGTGAGGCAGCAGCAAAGTGATTTTGAGACGCAGATTGACTGGTATCTAATTTGGCCCCAAGACCACAAGTCAGGAAAGTAATCTTACAGACTGATGGGAGTCACACTGAATCATGACATAACCTTTCTCTATGAATGGCAATGTTAGCCAAGGCCAGCAAATGAATCAGGTTAACTGAATATATTTGTCCAAAAGAATGTTTTCTATGAAAAGACGTTTAGCTCCTAGAAAGGATCCAATTTAATTCATTTTGGGATGCCGTTTATTTACTCTTGTAAGCAACTATCAGTCGTATTTCAACTTCTTCCCAACCAGCCCTCTGTACTCCTTAGTGCGGTGCTATTATTAAGTTATTTTACTGCAGCTTAAGCATTGTAAATTACCTCTCCTGCAAAAACTCAAAAGCTGGCTTCTAAGAGAAAAAGAAAAAGGAAAACACCCTGCAATTGCACATCTCCTTACTATGCTTGTTTGGTTAGCGAGGAACTTGCATTTAATATTTTGAAATGAAATCCAAGCTCTTTGAATTCTCAGGGAAACCAAGAAAGTAAGGAGTCTGACTTCTGAAGACAGTGGTCTGGTCTGGCATTTTATAGGTACACCTGAGCAACAATCGCTTGCAAGAATTAGGACAGAGCTTGTATGGGGAAAAGAGACGAGAGCTTTGAATTAAAGGAATAATAATAAAAAACTAACTTATCGGTGTGCTCTTAAGGAGGACTTCCAATGGAGGGGAGACTATAAAAATAAATTTTAAAATTGTGGACTTGAAAGCACACATTTCCCATCCAAAAAGAGAAACTGCCAATAAAAGAAGAAGAAGAAACAGAACACCATGTCGATGAGTGCCAACACTTAGCTAATTTCTGCAAACTTATCAGGTGACAAATGCTTCTCCTTTTCTTTTTCTCATTTATGCTTTCCAATCCACTGTTCTTATTTTGCTCCCATCAGAATGGAATCAGTCTGGTGGGAATCCCACGGAAAGACAATTAAGGAAGATCCAACTGGATGGTTCTCTAGGTTTGGGATATTAGAAGATCAAGAGATAAAAGGGGATATTTGTAACTCAGGGTTGAAAGGAGAGGTCCTTGGTGCTCTCTGAGCTTGGCTGTTTCCTCGCAGACGTTTCATGACCCAACTAAGCAACATCATCAGTGCTAGTAGGGAGTAGTGGTCCCTCTCAAGTTATATTCTGGTGGCTTTCCCTGTCAAGTGTGGGTGAGGCTGATCTCAGAGGTTCTTTGGTCGGGCTGTTTACTGTTCTTTTATTTGGCAGTTCCTTGATTGGGGTATTGTTTACTTCAACTGTTTAGGTCAAGAGAGCCAGAAGCAACTCAATGGAAGCCTTGAAGAGTGCCCTTTGCATTAAATCGCCAGGTAAAGTGGGTGGAGATTGTTAAGGAAAGGAAATAGCTGACTAGGGAAAAAAAGGACCCCTATTCCACTAAGACAGAGAGATCCATTAGAAAACTTGAGCACAGGGGAATCCAACCTTGGCAACTTTTAAGACTCGTGGATTAGAAACAACTCCCAGAATTCCCAGCACGAACCTTAAAGTTACCAAGGTTGGACTCCCCTGCTGTAGGACGAGGAGGAGAGCTCCAAGGAGCAGCTTCTCAAACCTTCCAAAATACTTCTGACGTCGAAAAAAAGCAAAACTTGGAACAATATTTGCAGCCACTGTGACCTAAGTACGCATCTCTAATCTAAATGTTTGCATGAGTTGACTTTTTAAAGGAGGAGGAAGATCCTGCGAACACACGGAGAACATGTTAAGCATGTGCTTCTGATGTGAAAACAAGCCCTCAACAATTGGATTGTTGTAGATCTGTGAGTAGACCTACGAAGGAATGCATAGCAGATCTTTTCTCGCAACAGAAACAAAACTTTAAAATGTGTTTTAGGATGTGATCCTTTTGACCCCAGGTGTTATAGTCTCACTGTTGTGTACCGATGACAGCCTTCCTGTCAAAATATGGACTTTCTAAGATCAGGTGGGGAAAAGCCCACAAACCTGGAGGTCTACATTCCTTCTCCAGAATGTAGAGGAATGGGGATCTGCACATTCTGGAACCACAAGTGCCGAAGCCTCGAGCTTCTGTCAGGAAGGATGATGGGAAGCTGTATTTCAGGAACATCTGGCAGCCCTGAGATGTGCTCTAAAACATCCACAGAAATTCCACTGGATTACTGTAAACACCTGGCCCAACAATATGCATTATGGAGCACACACGTACAATGGGAAAACAATCCCATTGTCGTAACGACGCCTTTTCAGAATCTACAGCACAAGAACGTGGAATATTTCAACGGTCTGGATCCCCCCGCCTTTTTTTTTTTTTTTTTGCTTTTCATTTATAGAGCTTCATTAACAAGGTAACAAAATAACGCTGAAGTAGAAAGGTAAACAGTATTGTGGCTAGCAAATCATCTGTAGTCTAATTAAATAATATGTATGATCAAAAATAAACTTATAAAATGGAAAATAAAAATAAAACCTTCACTGTAACAATATTCAGCGCAATTTTCTTAGAAAGAGGTATTTTTTACACCAATGTTGGACCCCTATATAATTCTCCAGACAGTGTCTGAAATGTATTAATAATTTCACTGCTCCCTCTCCCACTTTAAAAGAAGATTTTTTAAAAAATGCGCCTTTAGTCCATAATATAACTGTTTAGGAATATTTTTTTTTTTTAACTCTTTGCAGCATCTTTTTATTCCTAACGTTTGGAAATATTCTAAATCCTAACCCGAACCCAAATATGCACTCTCTGCCCCATTCCTAATAATGTATGGCACTTCTGAAATTCACCACCACCCATCTCATTAACTGAGATCCGCTCCTTGAAGTCCACAACAGTGCAAGAGTGAACCACAAATAATAAAAAAGATTATATATATATATATCTAGTTCCCCCCTTTTTTTAACGGCACAACACTGAGCTTGGTTTGAGAGTTTAGTCCATTTTGTTTTAAAAAAAAAATTCCTAGGAATAAAAAAAGTGTGAACGATGGCTTTATATGTCAGTCTGTCTTTTCGGGCAGAGGCCTCCAAATTGCAAAGAAAGCTGTGAAAATTAATAGTTGACGTGCCCGTTTTCTCCTCCTCCCAGTGGATCTTTTAAAGTCTCTTTTGGCATCACAGAGAGAGAGAGAGAGAGAGATAAATATTTTCATTCAGTATATTGTGTGCCAGCCAGGCTTCCCTATTCACAACCATTCCCCCTTGGTGAAAACACATCCTGCAGATGCTGCCCCATCATCCGCAAGTTTTCTTTTTACACTATTGTTCTTCGCTGGACGCCCAGGGAAAGCCCAGCCACAGGGCTTAACATGGGTAAGTAACAGGCCTTCTCGTTGCCTCTCATTTTCCTACCGTGAGCCCCTCCAGAGACAAGCCGAGGCCGAAGCGTTTGAGCAATGAAAGAAAAAGTTAGAACGGTTATCATACCAAAGCCGAGTATATGGTTTAAAATGTCTGCTTGCAGGATGTCGGGCTTCTCCATTTATAGAAAGTGGTTATCCGTACACAATGGGCTTTCCTCGGACGCTCTTCGTCCAGGCTGCTGCGTGAAGGGACGGTCAAGGAGAAGGGACGCGGGCGCGGAGGGAGAGGAGCAGCCCCTGCTGGAGTTGGAGGCGGAAGAGTTTGCAGTTGGCGATGCGCAAAGCGGCACATCCGGTGTGGCGGAGGTAGGACGGGAAGAGGGGTTTCGTTGGGTGCCACGTCCCGGTGCTTCTTCGGAATTCCCGAACGTAATCGTAACTGGTACCTAATCGAACGGCAAGGTTAGTTTGGGAAGTCGGAGAAGCCACTTTGAAAACGAAAAAGCCAAGCCAAATTCAAAAGCAAGGCATGTAGCAAAGGAAGCATTTGACATCTTTTAGAAAAGGAAGCCATCGATGGAATTAATGAGTCACATTGCTGAACACCTAATTCCCACAGCGCTGTCTATTTACACATGTGTGTAGGCTGTATTGCTATTATCCTGCTCATCTTCTCATTTTTCTCATCTTTCCTAAAACCTTCTCCTATGGGTATCGATTTGTCACTGCTTGTTGTATCTTATCAGTAATGATTGTAAGTAGGATTTATGACCTATCACTTTGTTGATTGTATGTACACTGAGAGCTTATGCATCAGAGACAAATTTTTTGTGTGTGTCCCAATCGCGCTTGGCCAATAAAGAATGCTATTCTATTCATTTGTAAAATAACTTGGCTTTTTTTTTTAAAAAAAAATATTTTATTTGTCATAACACTTATGCACCAGAAGGAAGTAATCGTTAAGAGGTAATGACATTTGAAAAAGGGGAGCAGTTTATAACCAAATGGACTGTGAGACACCGGCAAGAATCTTATGTGCACAAAGATGGAAAAACACACTAAAATCTCACAATGGAAGAGTGGATGGGGGTTAGTGGAGATGGCAGAACGGTTTCAATTAAAGACAATTTATCGAGTTTTGTTTTTTGCTTGGAAGCCACTTCTGGACTTTTTGTTCGAAGTGGGGGGAAAAAAAAAATGAAACTTTGATTTTAGGTTTTGCTGATTAGAATGATTTTGTTTTTGTAGAAATGGCTTGAAATGTTGTCAAAGCAAAAGGTGGAGGTTGTATTTGTGTGTGTGTGTGTGTACTTTACTGTACTGAAAAACATCACAAGTCGGTATTTGTCTTCCTTTGCACTTCTCTCAGTTCTCTTGTTTCTTTTCTGTATTTTTGTTTTGTAATGACGCCTGAATAAAAGTAAATGCAAGTCAAAAAAAACTCCTACCAAGTGAAGTATTCATAAGCGTACGGGGTCTCCTGCTTGAGCAGAGGGCTGGACTAGAAGACCTCCAAGGTCCCTTCCAACTCTTGTTACTCTGGTAATTATGTTATTAGCTTTTAAACTGTTTAAAAGTTTAGAGAATAATTAAGGAACAGGATGTGAAATGCTTGGTCTCTTGTGAAATGACTGGTGTTGAAGCATCTGAAGCATCAGTTTTTGGGGAAGATGCCAAATTGCATGGTTAGTAATGGAAGACTAGGAGGCGCTGTTTGATGACATCATTCCTAACGAGCCTGTTTATGAAGATAAAGAGAAACACGCACTGCATGATTCAGTAAAGGCAGCATGGACTCCGGGAAAGGTTTTTAAGAGTCTGTTAGCAATCTGGGCCAAGAGCCAGAAGAAGAATGCCAGAAACCCATCATCCATTGGCAGAAATACCTGCTCTGAGAATGCAAATCGATATGGACCAACAAGGATAATGAACATAAAAAAAGTATGCCAGTCCAATGGCAGGTCCAGCTTCTATAATTGATACAAATGAGATTATCAGGGTAAGAGCTTTCGTTTAGTTGTCTCCTTCCAGAGTGAAGCTCAAGTAAAGACTTTGCTTGGTTTCCAAGAACTGTCATGGCTTCCTCCTCCACAAAGAACTCCTTTAGCGGTTTGGTTTAGCTTTTTGATAACCCAAATCATATTGCTTTCAACCGGATTGAGCAGTTTTGGTGCATTACCAGAAAGGCCACAACAGGATGAAACATTAGGATAGAAATATTTTAAACATTTCTTCATTCGCTTCCTTGCTTTAACTTTACCAAAAGGTAAATTTACACACAATGTGCGCTCTTTCTCTCTCTCTGTGTTGTGTGTGTGTGTGTGTGTTTTATAGAAGATAGGGATGGCTGAATGAACCATAGTGGCTTCACTATCATATCATATAAACCATAATGGGTATGCTAAGCCCAGAACAGGTGAATGAGATTGTGGCTTACTGTAATGTCTCCAACGAAAATATACCAACTTGGTTGTAAAGGGGGAATATTTAACATATTAAAGACAGCACCCATAGATCAGTGAAGCTTTCCAAAGGATGCTTAAACAGAGTAGTCGGGGTAGTAACAACCTTCTTGTGACCCAGGATATATTTGCAGCTTGATTGCAGAAGAGAAACTCACATTTTTAAACAAGAAAATATTTGTTTTTCACATATCCAGCAGTGTTACTAAACTCAAGCACCCCCCACGCTTTTTAATTCTGAATTTTAAACATTTTATATTTGTATTAAATCTGCCTTGTGTTATAATATTTATACTGTTTTTATGTCTTATTTGAACACCACCCAGAGTTACTCTATGAGGAAGACGGGCAGTTTCTAAACTTGATAAATAAATAAACAAACAAGATGAGAAGTTTGACAAGCCTATCTTGTAGCAATGCGATGTTTCATTAGAAAAACAACAATCATGTGGTTTATAGCCACTAACCTGTATCCAGATCGCCAATCACATATATGCTGGCACCAATGGGCACAGCTCCGTACACAAATGAGGAACTGGCTGGGATGCATAAATTCTGATCGCTCAGATAGATCCATCTGCATAGAAAGGCAACATTTTAGGGGGTGAAAATTTGTTCATTAATCAGTAGTCTTTAAAGAAAGATCTAGAAAGAAAGCATGTATTTGCAAATGGCTTTTCCGCAATGCACTAAAATCCTTTGAAGGATTTTAAAACTGATGCCATACTTCCCTCCGAGGTGACCTATCCCGTCCTCAGATATTCTCAATATTCTCGAAATGCCATGCTCTGTGTTGCAGGAAAAGTCATTTCACGCTGCAGAAGCAGGTGGGCGTGGCTTTTATAGAATTTGTAGCCGAAAGCACCGGAAACAGATGACAGGCTTCCTGTTTTGGTCAATGCTGCGCTTGACTTTTTATTTAATAGCTGCCGACATTCATATGCTGGGTGAATCAGTGACAGAATACAAGTTCTGTACACAGAGGGTTTGGCGTTCAACTTGGCATCTAAGTATTCCAGGAAGCATCTCCGGGAAATACTTCTAGTTTGAATCTCAAAGAATCCCCGTCAGGTACAATAAACAGGGCTAGACCAAGCTTGGCAGTAGCAGCACGAAGGCAGTTTAATACAAGAATGGTGTGTTATTTGTTTTCCTTACTATTTCATTCGCTGTTGTTATTTTCTTACCGCAATTACGGGTAGATCTCGGCTTACGATCACATTGGAGTCCCAACTTAACCTTGCTAAGCAAGGCAGTTGAGTTTTGCCCCCACTTTATGACATTTTGGGCACAGCTGTTAAGTCAATCGCGCCGTTATTATTCACTAAGTGTTGTGATTAACTGAGAATACATCACTAAGCGTTGTATTCTTATGATTCTTGATGAGTGTATTCGTTGCAAATGGTGATCATTATGACCCCAGGACAAGGCAACCGTCGATAAATACATGTTGGCTGCCAAGCGTCCAAATTTTGATCTTCCAAATTTTAACTTTGAGTGGTTGCTAAACATATGGCTGTAATTAGAGAACTAGCTGTATCTACAGAGCCTGAATACGATTCTTTTGAAGAACAGAATATTCATCCAAAGGCCAAACCAATCATGAGATAGGGTGGGCCTTACCACCCCAGGCCGAGAATTTGGATCGGTATCAGATGACTGCAAATTGTTATTTGTTGCTGCTATATATTTTATGGGAAGCAGTTCTTGTTGGCACCGTCTGTCGCCTCTGTTGGTCTGGACCTGAATATTTCAAGCCTTGAACTAAAAGGGTGGGAACTGCGAGGGGTTCGATTCTCTGCTCCCCCAATTTCAGGCAGCAAAGATCAATTCTTCAATATTTCAATTTGGGACCCTGCGCTGTGAAGGAAGAAAATGTATGGTCCTGGTGCAGAGTTTAAGGAGTTTTACACACACAAGGACACACACACACAAAAGTGTGGAATTCAACGACTGTACTGTGAAGCACAAGAGTCACAACACAAAAAGTCGACTGAACAATCCACGGCAACCAACAGGAATAGATCCCTTCTAATAAGCTTAGAAGCCATTTCCTGAAACCCTTCACAGCCTTTTTTATACTCCAACAGCACCCTCTTCTGGTAAACAGCAGCATAAGACATATTGCACTGCAGATAACAGGTAGCGCTTGAGTTGCAACCACAACCGAGCCCAAAATTTCTGTTGTTAGTTGAGGCATTTATGAAGTGAGTTTTGCCCTGTTTTGCTAGCTTTCCTGCCAGGGTTCTTAAGTGAATCATTGCTAAGTTAGTAACACGGTTGTTAAGTGACTGGTTTCTCCGTTGACTTTGCCTGTCAGAAGGTCACAAAAGGTGACCCTGGGACAATGCAATTGTCATAAATGTGAGTCAATTGCTCATCTGACCATGGAGTTGCTGCAACGGTTGTTAAGTGGGGGAAAGGGTCGTAAGTCTCTTTTTCAAGCGTCATTGCTAACTTCAAATGGTCTCTGAACGAACTGTTGTAAGTCAAGCACTACCTGAATGATCACAAACATACACAAAGCACAAAAAAGCTACAATTACATGCTTATAGTGCCACTGCTCCCATATTCAATATTTATCATGTCAAGTATAACCTACTAGGGGTTGCGCAAAGAACTCAGAAGAGCTCTTTGCACAAGGCATTAGAGCAAGTGATGCATTCCTCTGGAAGCATAGAAAGCAGCAGAGACCTGGCTGCTTTGAAGACTGTCTCTGGCTGTCTTCAGGTGTGTGTTGACGCGCACCTTCATTTCTCGTGACATGTTCAAGGGTGTAAAAGAATTTAGACCTGACCACAGGGTCTCAAACAGAAGGCAATAGGGAGGTTGCAGTGTTCCAAAGTAAAAGGGGAGATGAGGAAGCATTCAAAATAAACTGTGCATTGATGTTATTCAGTATAAGGTGGGGCATAAAGAAACATGGATGGGCTACGATTCTGCCATTATACCTTACCACATGGCTGGGGAATTCTGGGAGTTGAAATCCACAAAGTAGCCAAGTTGAAGAACACTGTTCTTACAATAATGTGGTGGCATTCCAGGGATCCCTGTGGGGTTTGCTTCTTAACCTGGCTGATGCAGAAGAAGGCTTGTCCTTGCATCCTCAGAAAATTAGGGATACCTTTCAAAGTGGCGATGAGCCCTCCAAAGGTTGCAGCAGCTTCCATGCTTCATGCTCTGTCTACAGTTATGTATTCCTCAACATTCTGCCCTTTATGCTGTAGGATTAACTTCAATCCTTCTTAGTTTAGAATCTATCTATCTATCTATCTATCTATCTATCTATCTATCTATCTATCTATCTATCTATCTATCTATCTACCTACCTACCTACCTACCTACCTACCTACCTACCTATCTATCGACCGATCTATCTATCTATCTATCTATCTATCTATCTATCTATCTATCTATCTATCTATCTATCTATCTATCTATCTATCTATCTATCTATC